ACACGAAAGATAAAACCCTATTTGGCTTGTGTAAGACCCCTGGTGCTGCCCCAAAGTTGGGTCTCTCTGTGAGAAAAGAATCAAGACGAAGGAGGAGAAAAGAAATCTCGCTCCCTTGCGCAATGCGGATCCAACGCAGTGTCGAATAGAGAAGAGGAAGAGGATGAACTCCCCCTTCCGCGACGCAGAACTCCTCAATGCGTTATATGATAGAAGCCCTTAATTTGGTTCAAGGAAGAAAAAACGAAACAAGGGTCGAACCCTTAATTTGGTACAAGCCCACTTGAAATAAAAAAAAAAACTATTTATGTTGTGGAGGAAGAAGAAAGGTCGTGGAGGAAGACAAAGCATTGGTCGCGTCATAAGATTTGTTTGGTAGGTCTAGGAGGCTTTTATGCCTCGGGTGATTAGCAAACGAGGTAGTAAGGCATTTTTATGCCTCGAGTGATTAGGAAACCGAGGTAGTAAATTATTTTTGAAAATCGCAGTCTGACTTGTCAGAAAAGACATGTGCTCTAAGCAGGGTTATATGCTTCGGTTGTTTATTTAACCGAGGCAATATACCTCTTACGCCTCGGGTCCCCTTGAACCGAGACATATAACTTCGTAATAACTACGAAAATGCCACCGTGTTTTGATATACTTCGGTTTTTACAAAACCGAAGCATATATAACGATATAATAACCTCTTTTTTTACTAGTGCCTATTTTGCTTTATATGAATTATGGTTTGCCTTAATAGATTATATTATATATCTAATCGATTAATACTTCCAGTAATGTGCAATTTTGACCAATTTAAACCAGATTCACTTGTACACATATGATTTATGTATTTCGTTGTTCTCTTATGATCTTAAGCCAATTTATTATCAATTTCAATGTATAATAGATAATCAATTGTATTATCAACTACTTTGTGATACTTGATAGGGTTATTTCTGGTTCTTTTATGTATGTTTCATGGATTCATATGTTTGGATGCAAAGTATTATGATATGATTAAAGTGAGAATGAGATGTTGTGGAAAAAGAATTTCAAGGAGGAATTTCTTATTGGGGGATTCATGTATAAATAGTATAAATTGTAAGAAGCAGATATGGAGTTATCTTTGACACTCTAATGATCATCCATGCTTAGAGAGTGGTGAGTCATGTCGTGAGAGGAGTAGGAGGTCCTAGCTTGAGGGCCTTTCTTTATGGTGAGAAAAGGCGTTTTAAGGATTAATATTGTGTGGTAGCTTTGAGTGGGTCAAGTGTTCCACCACATAGGTGCAAAACCTTTCATGACTTGACATTTATATTATATTGTAAAGGATTTGGCCAAGTCCGAGTCAGTGGTGTGAATAAGAAAGATGTTTTGATATGTGTGAATGGGGAAAATGATCTACTAATTGTGTGATTGCAATTGTATGTTGAATTTTATTTTTACCATGTTAAACTATTTTATCATTAGCTTACGCTTGCTTTTGTTTTTGTTTTTGTGTATGTTTTCTCTTTTGCGATAATCACCTTAGTGGGTGTGGCTTAAGGAGGACATCTTTCTAGTTGTCTCAGAGTAAGGGTTGAGGATGAAGCAATAATATAGATAACTTCTTTTGTTCTTTAGGTGTAGATTTTTCTTCTCTTGAAATCTCAAGTTTGTTGTAAGTTATCATTTTTATAGCTCTTATTTTAGTGATTTTATACTACTAAAATAGGATGTTACAATAAGATTATATTAAATTTTATTATAAAATTGTATATGTTTCTTATATTCATTTACCCAATACCTAATTTGTAAAGAATTTTATATAATAGAATTTGTTCCAATTTGTTATTATTATTTATTTTCCTCTTTAATTTCATGATAAATATGTAAAACTAAAAGTTATATGTAGGATTTTTTTAACAAAATAATAACTAATCTTGAACTTTAAATCGATAAATAAAATAGTTTTTCACCTATGTCACTTTAAAAAAGATGTAAGCAATTTATGATTAGACGACAAATGAAAAAAAGTATATTAAAATACAACCATACACTTCTTTTAGATTTGTCCCTTAAATACGATGTATAAGTTATCATGATTCCAACTAATGAAAAGTTGTTTTTTTTTATAAAGTTATGTTAATGATTTTACAAATTATAAACGCTTTATACATATTTCATATTTTAAAAGTGTTATATATTGTTTTTGTCAAATTTATAAAATATTAGAAAGTTAAAATAACAATTAATAAAAAGTTATTCTCTCTATTATTTATTAAAACTTTTACATATTTAAAAGAGTTATATTCTGAACACAACACCAAAAATATTTATGGAAAAAAAAATTATTAAACATATCCGGCAGCACTTGGTAGCTAACTTTGAATTTTTTTTAGGGTTGTAAGAATATGGCTAAATTGCTTCAAAATAGTCATATCATTAGTCAAAAGAGGTTGGGTTTGAATAGGAATAAACATGATATCGTTTCGATTCTTTATTATATTTATTATATTATTGTGCATATATTGCATACACATATATTTAGAATTGCACATTGATTCACATATAAAAGATACTTAAAAAGAAAAAAAATATATTGATCACAATATCTATATGTATTGATTTTTTCGTTTTAGAAATTTAACATGTGGTCCATTTTAGCATTTTAGATATGCAACCTAAATTATATAAATCAAGACGAATTTAAAGCAATATATTAGTTTAATATTCATAGATATTTACATATAATTAAATATTTGTTAAATATTTGTAACCTTGAAAATCACACAAACATCATAATTCAATACAAAGAAATACACAATTCAACAATATTTTCATATTAAATTTGAATATGAATGTCAAAAAATTTCACTTGATAGAATACAAGTTCAGTGAGAGTATTAAACGATACCCGCTTCAGAATGTATGTTTTTGCTCGAGCGAAAATATTAAATAATATTCTCTCACCTATGTGACTGAGATGAAACATATGCTTATAAGGCACACTTGTTTTTCCTTAAGTGAAGATATCATACAAAACACTTACTAGAGAAATCCAGATGATACCTTCACTTAGCAACTCATATAAATCTTCCTACCCTAACATATATACATTTTTAAAACAAAGCTACTTATGAACTTCAAAACACATTCCCGCCTTAATTCATAAAATTATTCATTTTATACCTAACAAGAAATTTACTTCAATTTTAAGACTAAAGAAAATAAAAAACATATTAATTCATCATGTTAAACAATGAATTTCAAACTCAACACACGAATGAAGAATGTCAAATTAATTATGCAGTTGTTGAATCCTAAACTCATCATGCTAATTCACAAGTATACAAGGAACATATTTCTTATGTATAATATAAGAACCTCAAATTTACATAAAACATATAGTCTTCGTACTCATTTTATACCAACGAATTTCATATTCAAGATGTATCGCAACATTACTGTATTGAAATCCCTAAATAAAATAGACCTTATATCACATTCACCAACTAAAATCAATAAGAGTAGCTTCCTTTATTTGGAAAATTCATTTACACCAATTTGAAACACAATAATATCACTACGATTTCAAACTCACCTTATACCAAAGAATTTTAGATAGAATTTTATATTCAACATGTATAACAATATTACCATATTGAAATAGTCATCAATAAAATAGACTTTATATCACATTCGTAAACCAATATCAATAACACTAACTTTCTTGAAAAATCCATTTATATCAAGTTGAAATGAAATTTTAGACTAACAAAGATTTATCTTATCAGACAATTAAAAAAATTAGGGTTAAATATGTTTTTGGTCTCTTAACTTTCAGCGAAAATTGGAATTATTAGTCCCTCTTCAAAACTTTGGACTAATTTAGTCCCCAAACTTTATAAATGTGTGAATTTAGTCCTTTTAACCAAATTTTGTTAACTTTATTTGATGTTTCAAACGCATTTATCAGTGAGCATTGAAGCAAAAATGTGTCAAACGGGATAAACAACTCAAATGCTATCATGAAAAGCACTTAAAACCTCAAATAAACCTAACAAAATTTAGTCAAAAGGACTAAATTCACACATTTTTAAAGTTTGGGGACTAAATTAGACCAAAGTTTTGAAGAGGGACTAATTCCAATTTTCGCTAAAAGTTAAGGGAGAAAAACATATTTAACCTAAAAAATTATCATTGAAAAAAAGAGAAACGATTTTGATTGATAAAGTATATTTCCTCTTGTCATCTCTATAATATATTTAAATATTTTTATACTTAGATCTTAAAAAAATATCAGTTAACTCAAAATATTAGAAAGAAAGTATAGAAATATTTTAGAAAGATAAATCTTATAAATAAAGTTCTAATAATTAAATTTTTATATTTATAAGTGTTTTTTTTTAAAATTTGACCAATCAAATATTCAAAGTGTATCTCATTTAAAACACTTATACTCTTATACCAAATTACTCAATACCTATACGTTACATTTTGTATCAATAACAAACAATTCAAAATCGTGCTTCAAAATAGATGAAAAAAGGGTAGTGTTTCAAAACTACATCATTGACTTAATTTTAATAGTTAAATAATAAAACGAAACTTCTTTCTATAAAAATAGAAAACATAATATATTAAAAAAATCTCAGAAATATATTTTAATTGCATATAAAAAACTATTCCAATACTTACATATACGTAAAGTCCTATGACTAATCTTAAAAAAAGTCCCAGTAACTACGCTTTTACACTTTCCCGTGCCGTCAGCTACGAGATATTTATTTTTCTTCATATTTTATTCCTTTAAAATATTCAGGACGCGGGGGATATTTCCTTATTCATTTATTTATCATCATATTCAAAACCCAATAAGATATTTATCTCCTTTCCTCACCGTCTGTCATTTAATTTGCTCACAGACTACAATTGCCACTCGCCAGCTCCCCAACAACGCCAAATCACCCCACTCTCAATGGACTGTCACAATCAAATATCACCTACCGAATTCACAAGACTAACCGCCATGGTTGGGTCAATGCCCCGTGCCTCCAATTTCTCACTGCCGCAAGAAACGCCACAAGAAACTTCATTCCAATACTTTTCTCGAATACTGAGACTCTCGTGTGAACAACGAAATGTTCGATCGTACTTGAAATTAGAAATCGGCGGATATGGACGAAACCGCCGAGACGACGATGCCTAATTGGGTCAACGACAGCGCGAAGGTTGCCGGAGAGAGAACCGATGACTTCGGCGACGAGGATGAGGATGAGGATGAGGACGAGGAATGCGACGGCGATGAAGAGGCTTGGAACATACTCACTCGGAGTTTCCGGCAGGCGCAGACGGTGCTGGACGAAAACCGTGCGTTGATCGAGGAAGTGAACAGCAACCACGAGTCGAAGATTCCTGACAACATGATGAAGAATGTTAGCCTCATGACTCAGATCCACGGCAACATCTCCAAGGTTCGCTCTATCTACTCCGATTTATCTGTGAATTTCTCCAACATTGTTCGACAGCGCCGCGTCGCCGCCGTGAACCACCGCAATCGCGATGGGGACTGTGAAGAGGATGGAGATGAGGCGGAGAACCCGGAGGATGATTCAACGGAGGACGTGTCGGAGAAATCGGAGTAATTCTTTGTTACCTTATATATGTTATATGATTGTTATCGCGTTGTGCCATGAATCTTAGGGTAGGGTGATGATATATGATTGTTATTGAGCTTCAAGCTCACTGTCTCGAGTCTTTGTTATCATGTGAGGTAGTTTGTGAAATTTGAAATGGAGTATTCAGTTCGTGTTAGTATGAGTTTTACAGTGATTCTATTCGGGGAAAAGAAAATGTGCTGAGTTTGATCATTTTCTAGGTTCGTTTGTGGTGGAGGTGGTAGTGACTTGAATATTGAGAAATCTGTCTGTGTGCTCATTCCTGGTTGTGTCTTTCTTTGTTGGTTTTCTTTGTTGTAAGGATGGTTGAATTGATAGATCCAGGAATGTATAGAACATCATCCACCCGCAGAAATGAGGTATTTATGTCAATGTTTGATTTTGCTTTTTCCATGGCTGCTTTGATTTTTTAATCTTTTGTTTCAAGGAGGCCCTGCGGTACTGTGAAGCAGGGAAGGGGAAAGGGGACAGGACAAGGATTGAACATGTATGTCGTGTTTCACAATGATAAAGATTATAACGGCCAGTAATGTCAGCTATTGCTCATTGTTTCATGTCTTTGTTATTGTTGTTATTATTCTTTATTCCATTATGTTGATGATGCATAGATAGTTCTTGAGGTTAATGGTTGATTATGTCGATATCAGTTCAGAAATCCGCCATCAAATATTTAAGAAGTGCTTCAATGAAAGCAAAACTAGTTGTTTCTGGGGGGTTTCGTGAAGTGAATAGTGGCCTTTAATTTAAATCATCTGTTTCTGGACTATAATTCTAAATGACCCTGTTACTTTCGCACTTAAAACATTTTTACACTTATTTTCCATCTATTATTTTATATTTCAATTCACTTTTTTAATGACTGAATTATGCCTAAAAATACTGTTTAGTGATATTTTGGTATAAAAAATATTTTCCAATTTTAAAACGAACCCTGCCTAGATGAATTGGTCAAATCGCCAATGACAAGTCTTTATCTTTTTTTTACCTATAATTAGAAAAATCATACACATACATAATTATTTTATCTACGTTTATTATATCTTTGTTTTTACTTTTTATCATATTATAACATCTATAAACTTATATTTTTACTTTTTTTAAGTGTATATTAAAGGTTCAAACACCGTGTTCATGAATACTTTTTTAAATATGGTAGATTAATATTTTTTTTACAATTTTTTATAATAGATTATATATTACTATTTTTTTAGTCGATATATGCGGACCAATCACAAATTATGTAAAAAAGTTGTGAAAAAAAATATTATTAAAGATACATTATATTCATAATCTTCTTGTTTCTTGCGTAACTCTAGACTCTCCTACCTTTGTCTGCCACACTTGCTTTTTTGCCCAATGGTTATGGATGATGAACAATTTTATGCTAAAATCTACGTAGAAATATAATTACAAGAAATATAATTGTTTTAAAAGAATATTATTATGGAAATAACAACACTATAATGAATCTCATTATCACTCTTAGTATTTCCGAAAGATTATTTTCACTTTTCTCTTTCAATATAAGTAATATAAGCGAATTATGATAAATAGTTTATATTAATTAAATCATTCATCAATGAATGGTTTATAAGGACTGTTTTTTGCTGTAGTATTGCATCAGTCTTTTAAATATAAAAATAATAATTTCTTTTTTAGAAAAGTGACTAAGATGGTACATCATACTATTGACTATAATTATATTAAACTATTCATATACAAAAGTTTTTCTCTTATCAATTTTAGAATTATTCTTCACCTGTACCTACATTATTCTCTACTGGCTCAAAGCACGTGAATAACAAAACACCATATACAAAACACAAACGATAAGTTAATATTGAAGTTTTAAACGAAAAAAATATACTAGCAATTTAGAAAATATCTAAATAAGTTTCATAAATCATAAAATTTGCATCCAACCATAAAGACTCTCATAACTCAATCATGTACAAATAACCATAAATACAACCACACTACAAGAAAAAAGTGTATTACATACAACAAAAATCCGTATATAAGACCAAAAATCCATATATAATCTGTGTTTATATACGGATTACATACGGACAAAAATCCGTATATAATACCATCGTAGCTAAGTTTACATACGGATTTATCCGTATATAACATATATACGGAAATTATATACGGATTTATCCGTATATAACTTATATAGGGAAATATCCGTATATAACTTATATACGGAAATTATATACGGATTTTTCGGTATATAAGTTATATACGGATATATCCGTATATAATTTCCGTATATAAGTTATATATGGATATTTCCCTATATAAGTTATATACGGATTTATCCGTATATAACTTATATAGAGAAATATCCGTATATAACTTATATACGGAAATTATATACGGATTTTTCGGTATATAAGTTATATACGGATATATCCGTATATAATTTCCGTATATAAGTTATATATGGATATTTCCGTATATAGCTTATATACGGATAAATCCGTATATAACTTATATACGGAAATTATATACGGATTTTTCCGTATATAATGGTTTAACAAGAGCTAAATAAATTCTCTGTATATAGCAGTTCTCCATGCACAATATACAAGCAGACCTGGACATTATACATTGCACATTGACATATAAATTTAATAAGGTTTTCATATACACTTAATCCACAAAGAAAACATTGTATATGAATACATAAATATTGTATAATGTAATTATAACTGCAACATTTGGTAAGTTCATAAACAGATTGTAGTTATGGTTCTAAATAAGTTCAACAGTAATGGAAATAAGTTCTATAAAATTCCTAATAATGCATGTAATCATCATTTCCATCTTCTGGTTGTTCATGTGGTGGTTGCTGGTGTGGTGGTTGCTGTTCTGGAGGTTGCTGTTCTGGTTGGACT